GTTGTATTAAAACTTACAATTTGAGTGAAGCAGGAGTAAACTGGTGGTATGTTGCTTAAGGCAGCTGGATCTTACATGGCCAACTGTTCAGTTTGAGCCTTGAACCTGGTATCTTGAGAGTCATGCTGGGCATGTGTGCCTAAAATCAGAGAGAAGAATGAAAGAGAAGGGATTATGGTGTGGCCATTGCCTTGGAGGCTGCTTCCTCATTTTCTCAGTCTCTGGTGAATGCATGTGCCCTGCAGCAAAAATAAACAAATAAACAAAAACCAAAACTAAAACAAGTAGAAAGTCCCCAAATTACAATGGACATAGGATCAAGGAAAGATGGACCAGAGAATTCAGGATGTCATGGCACCTATCCAACGCAGATCTAAAATAAGCCTGTATTTACAAAGTGATAGGATTGTGATTTGGAGTTTCTTAACCTGGGGGTCCATGGAGCCCTGACTGCCCACAGATAGATTTTGAGGGTTTGTAACCCTCTACAACAAGGGTCAGTGGGCTTATTCTTAAAGGACCACACATTAACTATGTTAGACTTCGCAGGCCATATGGTCTTTGTTGCAAGCACATATGTCTACTGTTGTAGTGCACTGACAGCCACAGACAGCACACAAATGAATGGACAAGGCTGTGTTTTAGTAAAATGTTTTCTACAAAAACAGGCAGCTGGCCAGCAGGTTCTAAATGGTATGCAAATTCTATGTGAATAAATACAGCGTTGTTTTTATTGTTGTTATTGGGAGAAGATCCACAGCTTTCTGTTGCTTCTCAAATAGGTTCAAAAATCTAAGATGGTTAATAATGACTTGTCTAAATGGTCTGCAAACCCCTCTAAGCTTAGAAATTCCAGGTTCTATAATTCTGGATGTCTTTTACAGGAACAATGTTTTAGAGATTCTTTGTCCATATCAGGTTCTTTTGATAGTTTGCTGCGAAGTCTTAAGTGAACAATAATACCTATTGAAAAGAAAACATGGGTCCCATTACCATTTCACCTTACCTAGTTTACCTGGTTAAATGATACAAATATATTCCAGACTTGAATAGATCTATAGATCATGGATTACATCCCAACGTGTCCACCACAGAACCTAGTATCTTGCTTTGCACATATGTGACAGGAAGAGCTAAGAATCAGAGTAAGAAATGGCAGAAGTAATTTTTTCAGGGTTTTAACACTGAGATTTCTGAAAGCTATAGCGAGTATTCAATTTCTGCATCACTTCTGAAAATCAGAATAAAGGGTGTCCAATCAACTTGAATAGCAAACAGAATCGAGTGCTTAAAACTTTAGGAACAACAATAAAATCCTGATATATTAAAAGAAGAAAGGACACACACTAAAAACTATCACGTGATTGCAATTACAAGAGGACATCAGAAAGCTTGTGAAAAAAAGGAAACAGAAGTATGAGTTTGTGCTGGTGTAAAATTTTTGACATCTAAGCGTAATTTTTTCATAGTATGTGTTTTTCATGAATGCTTTGAAGACCTATCATATATGCCAGCTTCTCTGAGAACTAGTAACTGAGCACAGGGTAAGAGGCAGGAGAAAGAAATAGCAAGGGAAGGAGTGGTAGAAATTGGAAGAGAGAGGAGAACGAAACAAGGGAAACAAAGAGACAAAGAGGAATACTGGCAGAAAGGGGGAAAGCAGAGGGAATCTGTGTGCTAACCTACTACCGCTGGATTGAAATTCTGTCCTTAGGAGGTAGCTATTTCTCACAGCAAGTATCCCCAAAGAAGGAAATAAACAAGCAAATGAACATAACAGGAGGATAAATCACTTAGCCAGTTCTCATGGAGGTTTTATTCAATAGGAGGCTCCTGGATGTACCACGTCAGGGTTAGTGCACGCGCTCTGAAATGAAACATTAATAAGACGACCACACGGTGCCGACTGTACCCCCAACTAATGTTTCAGTTCAGCTTTAATGATCATGTTCATCTGGCAGCAGCATGGTGCCCATAAATAGAAATGAGGCATGGGAGGCCTGCGTTTTTGTCTTGTTATAGCATTCTATGACCTTGGTTGGCCAAGCTCTGTACCTCAGTTTCCTCATTTGTTAAATGTAACGAAGAATTCCCTGCTCTGGTCACTTCACAGGAGTTTTAGGAGAATACACACACACACACACACACACACACACACACACACACACACACATGTTTGGATAAATATAACATGCCAGATAAATGTAAAATTGACCTTGTTCTCTCCACTTAACAAGGTAATGGGTAGGCGGGGGGTGGCGACCATGGCATTTTGTACAGAAGGCTTGGTGACTCAATGGAGTGTCTTTTTTTCTCTCAGTAATATCTGGTCTGGGATTATTACTGCTTTCTCGATGTTTTTAGACATACTTTTTCCCTTCAGAAATGCCAAAGGTGAAAAATACTATTCCACTGCTGTAATTTGTCACCCTTGCAGCCTGAGCAAGACGTGCATAGACAGTTTAGTAATTAAGCTTTTCAACACTGCATCATAAAGTTTTATTCCAGCGAAGGCTATATTTATCAGCTAACAAGTATTAAATCACCCTACTGCTCAAGCCGTTTCTCACTTGAATACACTCCTTTCAAAATAAAGCAGCTTTCCTTGGTTGGCTTGATTAATAAGAGCTCTTGTTTGGAAATATTGGGATGACGTGTGGTCCTGTGGGCTGACATGCAGACACCTTGGCAACTGTTACAGATGGTGCCCAGCTCTTCCTCCTAGGGGAGTTTGACATCTTAGCTTTGTGGTCTTTAAGATAATTCTGGCCATCTGAGTTTCATGGTTCTCTGAGATGGCTTCCAGAAGGAGCTATTCTCACATCCAGTTCATTTCTAAAGGGAAGAGGTAAATAAAAACCCAACATAAAATGAATTTTCTAAACAATTAAAATAGCAAGGTGAGGATGATCTTCACCTAAGCAGGGTTGATTTTTTTCTCTCATATTGCCATCCTCTTATTAAAATAGAAATTATTAGGGAAATACATTTAGGATGGAGTAGATATTATACATACATAATCGCTGGTAAGAGCTTAGAAAACTATGTTCTCTAAGTAACCCACTCGACCTTTATAACTCTTTTTAAAAAAATCTTCCTGGGAGAATGCAAATTCATGAAACAAATACAGCCTTGTTCATATAGGTTCAGGATGCTTTTAGTCAAATGGCTGCAGAATAATATTTGTTAGAAACAAAACATTTGTTAATATACTTGAATAATGTTTCAACCAGAGTTTAGGGGTAAAACAAACAAGACAATTGTTAATCAAATTTGGGCTGAAATGATGAAAAAAATGTCACTTTTCCCATCAGTTTATACTACAGACTGCATTAGTTTCCTTTCTCTTTTCCCTGTTTTCCAATATTTGTGACATTAACCACATGTAGGCATTTGAGTTTTTCACCAGTTTATTGCTATAAGGAAACATAATGATAAGCCAGAACATCATGAAGCACACTAAGTAGATACAAAAGCAAGTTCTGCTTTTATCTGGGTACATGAATGTATGATACTGGCAGTTAAGTATGAATTTTAAACGCTACATGCTAATAAGTCTTTTGTTCAAAATTTTAGTGACGTCTGTCACTTCAAAATGATAAAAAACGAGAGATCTTTGAAAAGTTCCAGGGAAATAAATATTGGGTCATTGGAAAAGTCATAACACATTTTTGCATAGAAAAACAGAAAAATACATCATGACTCTTCTGATGATGATATTTTGAAAAATTTATGCGTGAATTTCAAAATTTTTTGCTCTAAAATAAAATTACATTTTTCAAACAATTAAAATTTACTTTCTTTTTCATTGCCAAAGAGTACATGAACTCATCAGAGAGATGAGAGAGAGAGAGAGAGAGAGAGAGGAAGAGAGAAAAAGTGCCATTCATTGGGGAGTGGTCATTCTGCTATCCCTTTTCCTCCATTTCTCCATCCTGTTGGTTTTTGGAGCATGAATGTACACATGCTTGGCATCGTTTTCAAGTTACTGGGGCAAGGAGTCAAATCTTGGGGGTGGCCATGTGGGATCCAGATCCCTTAAACATTAGGTTACAAGGCCAGTCCTGTACTTTCATTTCATCCCCCCCCCCCCCCCCCTCCCCCACTCTCCAGTTTCATTCCTCCCCCCCCCCCCCCGCCCTTAAGCTTTCCAAAGTCTGCTCATAGAACTCACCATTTTGTTTTTCAAATTAGCAACAGGTAGCGTGTTTGGCAGGCTGGGATCAATTGCTCTCCAGCCAGTAAGTCATGGTGTTAAATCACTGAAGCATGTGGGTGCTGTGCTAAACCACTAAGTTGGCAAATATTGAACTATTTTAAGTGCATCTATTTTCTGGTTCAGTAAATTTTTTGTTGCGTTAAATTCATTAAACTCAACACAGTCTAAATGCCACAGCACATCCTGGAGAGCACGTAAAGGTAGCCACAGGGGATAGTGAGGGAAAAAATTGATACATTTTCCTCTCAGTTTCTATTTAATTTTTCTCTTTAATATTAAGACTGAAATTTGTTTTAAGGTTAAAAAGTACAGTGCAACTTGGAAAGTCAAATTGAATCTTGTTATTTTCTGAAAATCTGAAGAGAGCCTTCTTTGTCAGTCAGGTTGCCCTCCAAACTACAATGCTAAGATGATGACACATATGACCTCAATGCAGGATCATTTAATAATGTGGGAGATAAATGAGAAAAAAATTACACTCTGTTCTCCACAGTTCGGAGAAAGCTTGCAGTTCAGTAATTTGCAAAAATATTGATTTGAGGACACACTCGAAGGCTTAAAATAAGTCCTTGGTAATAATCATTCTTTATTCAGAATTGAAATTTTCAAAAAAATAATAAAGGCTTTGGCATATGAAACTGTTACTTTGATTTAACGTAATTTTGGAGGAGAGTCACTTGTTATTCTTAAGCACCACCTCCAACAAGGAATAGCTGTGGCAATTCTATAAAGTAGGGGAAAGGTATAAGGTATGAGGAGCTTCCATTCCAGCGTGGGTGGCAACTATCAAAATTATAAGCTTTATTTTATACTACTCCATTCGAAAAGTGACAATAAGTGAAGAACAATTTTCCAGTAATTTTTCTCAATAGCATAGAAAACAAAATAATCAATAAGAGAAAAGTGGGAAAACAAAATCCCAATGTACCTGGAGAGAATAAGGATACAGGTACTAAATATAATTCTTTAAAGCTTCTAGAACACATAGGGCAGAAGTGATACAGCCATCAAAGTTGGACTGGGTAAATCCATCCCCTCCACACACCAGGAAAGGTTTGACATGAAGAATCATTTGGCCAAGAGGGTTGGCAGCAGCATTTGTAACCTGAAAAGGTAAAAAAATAAATAAATATACAATTGAGCTTTTGGGCTCTATAGTGCTGTCATGGCAACACAACCTGAGGAAGATTTCTTTTCCTGCAAAAATCAAGATTTCTCACAAGGAACACCAAAAACAATCAAGCAAGCAAACAAATAAAACCTGAGACTTCCTTAACTCCTCCCCTATCCCAAATGTTTACATTTACATTCTTACATGCTTAAATTTCTGTTACTAGATAAGATAATCAGAAGTATATTGAACTTAAAATTTATTAGTGCTATGACCTGAATGTGTATTCCTCCAAAATTCAAATGTTGAAATTCTAACCCCCAAGATGATGGTATTAAGAGGTGGGGGGTGATTAGGTTATGAGGCTCTGCCCTCATGAAGAGATTAATGCCCTTATAGGTCCAGGGTACTTGTTGGCTCCTTCTACAATGTGAATACACAGTCACAATCGCAGTTTACGAGAGAGCAGGCCCTCCCATAACAGTGAGAGATAAATTTCTGTTGTTCATGAGCCACCCGATTTATTATATTTTGCTATAGCAGTCTGTACAGACTAAGATATTCTTCCTTATCTCCTGCCATCCTTGCTTCCTTCCTTCCTCGCTTTCTTCTATACATCCCTTTTGTCTTCCACCCTCATATCTCCTGAGCACAGCTCTAGGCCAGGCCCTATGCTAAGTACAGAACAGCCAAATTTTAAAACTTCATAGCCAAAATCTCAAGATGTCTCAGTAACTAACTGACCCCAGAGTAAGGAGTGGCTTCTTTCTGTTATTTATTGAGCACCTCTTGTGTGCCAGAATGTGTTCTCTTTATAGATGGCATTTAATGAATGAATGAATTTGTTGTCATCAATCTGCATAGCTGACTTTCTACAGAGTCTGAAGAATGCATTAGAGTTTGCCAGTCATAGGAATGGGGGAAGGTCTTTGCAAGGAAAAAGGGTTCCAGATGTAAATGTCCAAGTCTATGGGTAAGAGAGTGAGGGAAATGTTTAGGAGACTGTGGGGCAGGTCACAGTGTGTGTGTGCATGTGTGTGTGTGTGTGTGTGTGTGTGTGTGTGTGTGTTGGGGAAGGCACGTGGCAGAGAGGCAAGATAAAAGAGAGAGCGTGTTTCAAAATTATGAGACTAATAAATTTTATAAATCCATCGAAAATGTGGAATTTACTATGTAATGAGCCAAAAGGAAGAGAATCATCTGAAGTCTAGCATTTCTTTTATTTTGTGGAGCCAGGTTCATAATATTTTAAATGATTAAGAAAGGCATAGAGATGATTTCCTGACAAAAATATTCCCCAAATTAGGACAGATGATGCTAATAAGCATTCACAACAGAGAATGAGTGGGAGAGGAATGTAGTTATTTTGGAAACTGATGTGGTTTGGCCATCGAATATCAAAAACTCCCTAAAAAACCAAAAATTACAAACTTAAATTGGCAATCTCACTTGGAACTGCTTCGCTATCTAATTTCAGAGGATGCCACTCACATAAACTACATGCAGTAGTTCTTATCTCTCCTATAGAGTGTTTTAATGAGGGTAATATGGTAAGGTCTATCAGAATTTGCTTGTTTAAAAATATGAAAAAAAAAATCAAGATCAAGAAATGTGAGCCAGCCCTGTGGCCTAGTGGTTAAGAGAGTCCACAAGACTGACCATGCAGTTTGAATCCCAGCACCAGTCACTTGAGAAACACACTGAGTGCATGTAAGTACATGTCCAAAATCCTGACAGGATGGAGAAATAGAGGAGAAGGGGGTGGAAATGACCATGCCACACCTAGGTGTCCATCCTCCTCCTTCTCTCTGTCTCTGGCAAGTGTATGTGCTTGCTGGTAATTATTAAAGATAATTAAGAAATGTGATAATTGCTATTTGGATTCTGGTGCTGAGATTTTTGTTCTGTACAGGCCGAGCTAGTTTATGCCTTTATACTTTTTTCAAAGCATAAAAACTTACATGCTCTATTTTGCTTTAAAAAAGAGGTAGTATTATTGGGTTGTCTGAAAAGCCATGACACATTTTTGCATAGAAAAAGATAGAAAAATATGTCATAACTTTTCTGACAACCCAATATTATTTCCTTGTTGAATTTCTAAAGATACAAACATAAAATATTAAGAGTATCCTCTCACTTTTCTGGAGGTCACTTTATAGTAACATCATTTACTGTAGATAGAGCAGATAATCTTGAAGTTAGCAGATAAGATCTTTGAGTGGCTAAAACAGACAGCACACAGGCACACAGTCAAACATTGAAGTACAGACCAGGGTGTTTAATTTGAGTTTTTAAACTCTTGTTTTAGGTAGAATCTTTAAAAGTTGGATTACTTGATTGGGTTATTTGATTGGGAGGAAGGAAATAACTAGGTTCCTAGATGATAGCTATTTCAGAACATGACAATTGATGGTTTGGAAATAAGGAATGCTATATAAAAATTCGAAAAACAGGGGGCCAAATGTTAGCACATCAGTAAAGTGCAATATTCTGTGAGGCTGATCCACATGATGGAAGGTTTCCCGTTCATGTCCAAAGACCTTTTGCAGAATGTACTGCGTGTACCCATGATCTGGGGCTGGCTGAGGCTGGATATGGGCATGGTGTGGAGATCTTGTATCGGAGGAGCTGAGTCTTGGTATCTCTTTCTCTCTATCTTTCATTTCTTTCACTTATAGAAGAAATAAATGAAGAAAAAAAAAAAGAGAAAGATGCAAGAAACCCATGAGTGAGAGAAGGAGCAACAGGAAGGCCAGCCTAGACTGCTCATCCTGAGCTCATCAGCAGGGACTTCTGTCCAGCATATTGTGGGGAGGAGAGGTTGGTGTGACCCACATAGCATCCTTATCACCTTTCATCTTACCTGTCCAGCTCAACTTCCAGGCAAATTGGGAGCAGGAAAGCTTTGGGTATACAGGAATAAAATACCTGAAGACAGAAAACTTGAGAGGAATTCTTTCCCAAAAAAACTCCCCTCTGGAAACTTGAACCCAAAACTCCTACTATGAATTCCACACTCCCACCCAAAGTAGAAGAGGGAAACTGGCATAGAACTAATGTACACCATAGGGAAGTGCATGTACACACAGTTACAGAAGTATAGTTCAAAGAAGTAGGAAGAAGTGACTATATCACCAGATGACTAAAAATCAAAGCAGAGCCCTAAGACATACAAGAAAACCAGGAAATACCTCCCCACTTCCAAAGAACATAATAACTCCTCACCAATAACGGACAACACACACACACACACAAACACACACACACACTCAAAGAAATATGGGAAAAAGAATTAAGAATATTTATTGTAACAAAACTCAGGAGACGCAAGAGGAAAACAGACAACCAATTCCAGGAGATGAGAAAATCCTTTCATGACTTGAGGAAGAGTTCCATAAGGAGATAGATGCCCTAAAAAGATTTAAACAAAATTTCTGAAGACAAGGAATATGATGTTGGATGTCAAAATCTCTCTTGAAAGTATTAACAGTAGATTAGATCACTTAGAAGAAAGAATTTCTGACCTTGAAGACAAAACCTCTGATTTAGTCCAAGTAACCAAAAAGCATAGAAGAATAACCATTAAAAATCAGGACAGCACATAGGAAATTCTAGACACCATTAAATGGCTGAATATCCACATAATAGGTATTCCAGAAGGTGAAGAGACAGGTAAAGGCATAGAAAATCTCTCTCAAAATATTAGGTTGGTGGAAAAGCAATTGCGGTTCTTGCATTGTTGAAATTTACCATTTGATATCAGATGAATTCTTTTTAAAAAAATTATTTTATTTAACTTTATTTATTATTTAACTTACTTTATTTCAATTTGACCAGAGATTAAAAAAGTGAAAGAGAGAGAGAGAGAGAGAGAGAGAGAGAGCGCGAGCGCAAGCGAGCAAGCTGCCAGGCCCGGGACTTGAACCATAGTTGCCCATGTGGGAGTCCAGCACTCTTAACCACCAAGTCACTTGCCCACCCCCAGATAAATTCTTAAATAAATGTAGTTATCTTACACGTCACTTTATTGTGTAGTTACCACTTTTTTTTTTTTTTTGAGAGATTTTCACTGTAGGGCGCGTGCGCTCGCCAGACAGACAGAGACATAGAGACAGAAAGCGAGAAATCACCCCCCAGGGGGGATGGTCACGCCACAATCCCTTCTCCTCCATTCTCCTCTCAGGATCTTGGGCACGTACGCACACGCGCCCGGCGTGAGTTTTAAGCCACCGGGTCCGGGACACGAACCGCAGTCGACTACGTGGGAGTCCAGCGACATAGCCATTACGCTAACTGCTGGTTCCTTGTAGTTACCACTTTATGATTTTTGCTAATGACTTATTACTTGCTGTCTATTTTATATGTATTTTAGACTATGGAAATGATGTTTGACAAAAGCAAATTTGGGTGATCTTATTTGAGTTCAAAATAGGTCGTAAAGCAGCAGAGACAACTCAGAACATCAACTACACAGTTGGCTCAGGAACTTTTTTTTTAGAGAGAGATTTTTGCTATGGGCATGTGTGCTTATTAGAGAGACAGAGAAAGACAGAGTGAGAAATCACTCTCTGGGGGGATGGCTATGCCGCATTCTCTTCTGTTGTCCTCTAGTGATTTCGGGTATGCACCCACATGCACCCAGCGTGAGTGTTAAGCAATTGGGTCCGGAACTTGAACCATAGTCAACTACATGGGAGTCCAGCCATGTAACCATTATGCCATTTGCTGGTCCCATGACTTAGGAACTTCTAACGAACATATAGTGCAGTGGTGGTTCAAGAAGCTCTGCAAAGGAGGTAAGCGCCTTAAAGATGAGGAGAACCGTGGCGCGCCATTGGAAGTAGATAAAGACTGATTGAGAGCAATCATCAAAGCTGATCCTCTTACAATTATAACAGAAGTTGCTGAAAAACTCAATGTTGACCATTCTATAGTTGTTCAGCATTTGAGGCAAATTGGAAAGGTGAAAAGTGGATGCCTCATAAGCTTACCCC